CCCCAAAAAAAAAAAAAAAAAAAAAAAAAATTTTAGGTAAAGGCTGAGATGTGGCTTGGTGGTAGTCTTGTCCACAATGTCCCCTGGAATTGATCTCTAGCACAACAAACAAAGTAAAAACCAAAGCTCTTAAAAGTCCTACATGACCTGACAACCTCTCTGTTTACCCTTTTCATTTCTTCTTTTTTTAATGGTGGCAAAGTTTCACATTTATTAAAGGTAGGAAAAAACCCAGAAGGGTAGGGCGGAAAATGGGCTCTGCAAGGTGAGTATGGGCTGAGGAAAAGGGGAAGAAAAAATAAAAATATACTCTACAGCATAGGGTGGGTACTGCGAAGAGGAATGATAGCCCCCTCATTTCTTACCATGATGCTCCTCATTCACTCTGCTGTTCACCCTTGCCTATCTGCATTTCCTCTAAATCAACTTGTTTCCAATCTTAGAGATTCTGCACTTCCTATTCTCTGCTTCTCCCTTAGACAGCCACATGGCTCTGTCTCCTTTGTTTCCTTTCAGAATAATCTTCATCCTGTCCCAAATAGGCATTTCCTATCCCTTTTACCTTGCTTTATTTTTTTCCACAGAATTTACCATCATCTGGTCATTTGGCATATTTCCTCCATTAGAACACAGACCACAGAGTAGGGCTTTGTTTAATTAACATGGTTTTTCAGGGCTTAGGAAGTACCTTGTACACAGCGGTCATTCAAAAATATCTGCTGAATTACAAATGAATGGAAAACCACTACGTGATTCCAGGATCTTCCCAAAATCATAAATCAAGAGGCCTAGAAAATAAAACAGATTATAAAGCTTTAATTACCTGTTTCTTTGGAAAGCCTTCATTAACTTTGGTTCCCATGGTAGCAATTCATTTAAAAGACGTATCAATGTGCTATGCAATTCTTTTACAGCTTGCCTCCGATGATACCATTTGCCCTAAAAACACAATTTTTAAAGTAAATCCCTTAGATTTAATCTAAAAATGAATGTCAAGCTTTATCTCCTGAGTAATAAATGCAAAAAAATTGCTACTACCTCATCAAAAAAATATTTCTTCCTCAGAAGCCTGAAGGGGGAAATATCCTGTAATGAATCTTATTTAATAATTTTCAATACTATAAATCTAAAATCCATCTCATCTAACCAGGTGGAGACAAAAAATTTAAAAATTGTTTGAATTGTGTCAGTTGTTAAGTCTTTTAATAAATCATTTACTAAATACATATAAAGAGCCCCCTGGGTTTGCTTTCCAGTGCTGCAAAAGAAAGAAGCAAACAAAAGAAAGACAAAATATTCAAACATTTACACAAATTCATTAAATAAACAATATGGTTAATTTAGTGAGGTTTTTGCAATTTTCCCCAAAGAGTGGGGGATGGGGTGAAGGTGGTGAGAAAAGCTAGGTTTATTATCATATCCAAAAGCAGTCTTAACAAAGTTAAGTTAAAAAGGAAATTTTAAAGTTATTTTAATAGTTTGCAGCACAGAAAAGTAGCTAAAAAAGTCAACTGTTTTCAATACTAAGAGATGATAAGAGTAAGAGATGATAATTTCTGATGCCTCCTCCATTTGCTAAGTATTATCCTATGCATTTTATATATATCTATCTCTATATACATATACATAGATAGAATAAATTGTAGCATTTATGAAAACCTTTCTGGGATGCATGCATTGTTACATTCATTTCACAAATGATGAAAATAAAGCTTAGAGGAGTTAAATGATTTCAGTTCTATAAATTGGACTTGTGTCTGTGTAATTGTGGAGTCCAAGCTCTTAGAATTACATTATGACCTCTTTAAAAGTACATCACAGGACTGGGAATTTAGCTCAGTGATTCCACCACCTGCCTCACAAGTGCAAGGTCCCGAGTTCAATCCCCAGTATCCTCCCCCCACAAAAAGTGCATCACATAAATTCAACCTGACATAGGTTATAAAACCTCTAGTACACAGTATATAGAGTTATCTGACTACCATAGGAACAATAAACTTGTAGCAGTTAAACCAATTCCTGGTTCTCTTCAGTAGGTGCATATTTATCATCATTGTCATCATCATATTCTACTTTTAAAAACACATTTCAGATTTAATTTATATAACAATCTACATGTTTTATTTCCAACAAAAACACACAATTATGTTATAGAACACATTTAACATGGATAAAATTAAGACTTCATTCTAAAATAATTGCTATCAATTTAAATGTATGCAGAATAGTAAGGCAGAACAGTCACCACTATCAAGAGCAAAAAGTATAAATGTGTGCATGAAATTTTCTAATTTTACATATATAAAAACTTCACTATTTTGAAATTTTAGTTATAGATAAGCCTAAGTGATTAATACTAGTTTTATAAAAAATTTGTACTATAAAACAAAGTGTTTATGTATATAAACACTTATATTTCTTTGCTTTTTTGGGGGGTACCTGGTATTGAACTCACGACCTTGTGCTTACAAGTCAGGTGCAGTGCCACTGAGCTAAATCCCTGGCCCACATCTATATTTCTATTACTGAGGTTTTCATATTTTAGAAGAAAAACTGCCTATTAGAAGAGTAGAAAAATTTGGGATTATATGGCACATGCACAAAATGAATATGAAACCTGTATTTGCTAATTCTTTTATGTCTTCTTAATGGCATGCCAAGTCAGTATTATCAAGAAAAGTAATTTTTATTTCACATATTAACCTAAATAGGACTCTGTTAAATGTGTTCTAAAAGTATAAGACTCAAGTTAACAATGGGTTACACCTTGAAAGTTTATTTTTCTCGAAGAAATTTTATGAGATAGTATAATGTGCTTATTCTTAGCCTACAAAAACACAACTATTAAGTTGAAAAACAATAAAACTGAAGAATAACTATCATGGCTCAGGGATGCAGATCAGTGGTGCCATACCTATGTGGCAAGTGCAAGGTCCTGCGTTCAATCCCTGGTACAAAAACAAAACAAAACAACAAAAAAACCAATAATCTTCACCTAGGAAAAATAAACTGAAGACAAAAAGGCAGGTAGATAATGGTCATTCTAAATCTTCTGTGGAGTGAGGCTGAGTTTTGTTTCAATAAATAATAGGAAATAGGTTATTCCCTTTTAATAAGATCTATAAAGAACTTTTTTCTACTCAACTACTATTTGCCTCAAAGGTGAAATAGTTAGAATGGAAGTAAATTGTTCCAAAGATAAGCAAGAAGAAAAAAAGGAATGGAAAATGTAGGGAGAATATCCTCTTTGTGGTATAATTGGTAGGAAAAATATTAAAAGCCCAGGTAGAAAACACCAGGCATGCTGAATTCCTCATTGAGTTTATAAAAATGACAGCTGCAGAGCTATGGAACAACCTAGTGGTGATGAAGTAGAGGCTAAAGAAGATCTTAGGTCTTAGGATACATACACTCCATAGAACTGATTCTTGTTATTTCAAGACATTTCTCAGCTGTAGCACCATCTCTGCTAAATTAAAAACTTAATTTTTGCAGAAGAGTTTAAAAAGGATTAGACAGATTTTATGCATTTTTGATTATTAATTTTTAGTTTACACATCTAGAGAGTATACTGGTGAATTAACAGACTGCATGAAAGGAACTCAAATGTTAGAGTATAGATTTCTAACTTTCACATAATTGTCTTACCCACTGATCTGTCTTGAAATGTCTATGGCCTTTTAACTTCATGTTTGTTTTGTAGGTTTTTTCCTTTATGTATCATCTGCTTGAGGTAGTGATTGGTATGGTATTTCATTTATCATTTGGTAATGCATATTTAATCATTTAATAGTGGAAAATGAATCAAAAAGTTTATTATTTTCATAACATAACTATAGAAAGTGAAGATCAATAAAGTATCTTGCCCAGGACATAAAAAGCATAAAATAACTCAACAAAGGGCATTCCTAGAACCTACCATGGGGTATGAGAATGCAAAAGTTTTTGTTGATTAAAATGGAGGCTGAGAATCACTGCTCTGGGAATGGTATCAATAGCTTTAATTACTGCTAGGAAAAGAAATTCACACTGCTTGTTTCATGTATCAATCTTCTTTGGTCAAAACATTAACCTTATAACTGGGTGTGGTGTAATCCCAGCAGTATAGGAGGCTGAGAGAAAGGAGGATCACAAGTCCAAGTCTAACCCAGTCAACTCAGACTCAGTGAGACTGTCTCAAAAATAAAAAGAGCTGGAGATGTAGTACAGTGTGAAGGTCCTAGTTTCAATCTCCAGTACTGCAACAAAACAAAAAAACATGACGCTTACAACCCAAATCAAGTGAAAGCAAAGACACTATCCCTTTCTATTTAGTGATTCCAAAGTTGCATAATATACAATGAACTAATGTAAAAGGGAGTTATCAATTTTTAAAAGTTGTAGTTGGTAATAAGCTGCCTTACCTTGTGTCTAATATAAAAATTGATTTAAAATCAAAGAAATATTGATTCAACTTTAACTATCAGTTATAAATCAGCAATAATTTTTCTGATGATCAAGCATAATTTTCATGTTTCTTCTTGGATGAATTTATTAAAGAAATCAGAGGGCATAATTTTATAGAAGAAAATTGTCTAAAGTCACAGAGGTAAGTACCTGAAGACAGATACAGACTTTAGAATTCTATCTCCTCTGACTTTTGAAATCTTATTTCTCTTAACACAACTGTCTCCAGTTCAAAACATGTAGATATCTTTGTAATGCAAGAATTAAAAAGCTCTAAAATGTATTTTATTTAAAAAATTGTAACTATTAAAATTAGTGATCTACAATTTAAAAGTAAATTAAAACAAAAGGAAAACAGCAAGCTCCCCTCTCTTCGAACACAAAGAATATCAATATAATAAGAAACAGAGATTCTTACAATCTTATAGATGATATACTGTCATTTTCATCTGCACTGATATAGATCTAAAGACAAAGATGGTAGATGGATGAAGTCAAAGATCATTTGAAGAGCAGTGCTATAACTTTTTCTAACAAAAATCTATTTAATATGATATATGCATACAATTTTAATCCTGACTTTACAAACATACATCAACATGGGGACAGATGAACTGTTTTCAATGTTAGAACTCTATTTTCAGGGATAAAAAATATTTTTTAAGATAATAATTCAAACACTTAATAAAGGTCACTTTAAAAATAAAATACCATTTTTCCTTTACCAACTACAAAGTTTAAGAAAATATCTATTTCAAATATACAGCATGGAATTCAAAACATCCAAGATAATCTAAATTTGAAGCTTACCTTTCACTGCCTTCTCATCCAATGTCCACAACAGCTGCAGATTGCCACCTCCCTTTCCTTTAGATGCTCCATTATCAAACCATAAAGGTTTTATGACTCCATTACAATTACTACAAAAAGGAGCTGATCTATGGTCACCAGGTTAAGTCCTTTATTATATTATGCAGTTTTATAAGTTTCTGATATACTAATAAAGAATCACAAGGGATCAGAGGCTTCAAAAAACTTACAAAACTACACAATATTGTAAAATAAAAATCTATGTCTTGAGTATGAAAGGAGTGTGGGGGAACTTACCTTATAACTAAAGAACAACTCCATTCTGTTGTAGTAATCTGGAGTGAGTTATGACAACACCAGCATAATGCTGGCTAGGGTGTTGCAAGGAGAGGGAATTGGCAATCTACTGATGTTGGGGACACTGGATACCTAAAAGGAAGAACAAGGGAAAATGAATGAATTCTAGATTTATTAAGTGCCTCATCACCACATTAATAAATTCAGATGTTAAACTCGGTGAAAGTTACTTGGTTACACAAACCATCTAAGTATTTGCACAGATTTTCTTATACTGTTATAGCTAAACAAAACAGGTATCAGCAGTCAGTCACACAATTAAAAAAGGTAAAATCATATATAAATATACAAAGAATGCTTTTTTATATGTGAAAAGTTATTATTGT